TACACTTTGTTGATTTTTAAAAACCATGTGTATGTATTATTTTGATTTAAAATGTTTTAAGAAAAATAAAGGAAGGGGTGCCTGGGTGGCTCAGTCAGTTAAGTGTCTGACTCTTGGTTTCAGTTCAGGTCATGACCTCAAGGTTTTTGGGATCGGGCCCCACATTGGGCTCTGTGCTGACAGCGCGGAACCTGCTTGGGATTCTCTGCCTCTCTCACTCTCTCTCTCAAAATAAATAAACATTAGGGGAAAAAAAAGAAAGAAAAAGAAAGGAAGTGAAAAGTTGAGTGTCCCTAGGGTAGCATTTGTTATGCTGGAGAATTTATCACCATCCTGCGTGCTGATATCACCTCAAAAACCAAAGCTGTTAGCCTTAAAAGCAGCAGCATCACTGTGGAACAGACACACATTAACCAGGCTCATGAGACTGATATTTCCTATCAGATGCCAGTTCATTAATTTATAAGGGGAAGTGGGGCTTTGAAGCAGACGTTTTTCTTGTTTGCCGATGAGTGCATTATCTCCCTAAGGGTGGATCTACATAAGAAATAGAGTGGTTTTCAGCAGGTTGCTTGGTAATCCAAAGAACTAGTGAGGCGGGGGGTGAATTGGGTGATTTCAAACCATGAGGCCTCTATCTCCCTTGTTCCTGGACCAGCATCTTTGTGTCCAGACAGCGCTAGGATAGACACTCTGATGGTTGCTTTGACAACTCTTACTGCTCTCTGCTTCATTGGCAATGCAGACTCCTAACTGGAACCTTCGTTCTTCAGCTACTTTAATACCTTTATTCAGTCTAGACTAGGCCTGACAGTTATTCTGTCTCCATCAGATATGTTGGCACATCTCTGTAGCATCAGAGACTTATATCCACTCAAACAGGCAACACATTTACAAAGCACCCATGATGTGCCAGGCTCTGTTCTAAGCTCTAGAGTTACAGTGGCCAACAAGGCTGACAGTTGTCCCTGCCCTGATTAAGTTTACAGCCTGGTAAGGAAGACATATATTAAACAAAGTGGGCAAAGTGAAGGAGCAGCCCAACTCACAGAGACAACTTCATTTCCTTTATCCTAGTTCTGTTTTTTTTAATATATAAATTATACTTTTACCTTTTTTAAGTTTATTTATTTATTTTGAGAGAATGAGTTGGGAAGGGGCAGAGAGAGAGAGAGAGAGAGAATCCGAAGCAGGTTCCACACTGTCAGTACAGAACCGTGAGATTGGGACCTGAGCCGAAACCAAGAGTCAGATGCTTAACCCGCTAAGCCACTCAGGCACCCCTTTATCCTGGTTCTTGAGGTGGGGTCATCTCGTGGGTATCACCTACTGCAATGAACCATCTAGATAAAGAAGGCTCATTTTCCAAGCCTTCTGTGGATTCTGTATCCCAAATCCTTCCAATAAAGTTATTTTATATGGAAATTTATCTAGGGTTGGTTTCTGTCATTTATAACCAAGAATCCTGACTGGTATAGCAACCATCTCAGACATCTGTGGACCAGAGAGCAAGTTACCAAAAGACAGTTCCAAACCTTCTGCCTTGGGACTACAACCAAAACTGGAGCCTTTCAGATCTGTGCCTTCATTCAGCACAAAGCAGGGCACACAGGCTGTCTCAATAAAATATGGTTGGCTGAGTCACTCAGTAAGTCCACAAACCTCTGCCAGAAGTTATTCTAGGTACTAAGGTTACAAAGCTAGTACAAACTGGGGTGCCTGGGTGGCTCAGTTGGTTAAGCGTCTGACTGCAGCTCAGGTCATGATCTCACACTCTGTGAGTTCAAGCCCCGCGTCAGCCTCTGTGCTGACAGCTCAGAGCCTGGAGCCTGCTCTGGATTCTGTGTCTCCCTCTCTCTCTGCCCCTCTCCAGCTCATGCTGTTTCTCTCTGTCTCAAAAATAAATTTTAAAAAATTAAAAAAACAAAAACAAAAACAAAGCTAGTACAAACTAGTTGCTGCTGTCAACAGTGTCCCACATGCATTTTAGATCCAATATATTCAAAACTGAGGGTGTCATCTTCCCTGCCTTTTCTCCCAACCCATATGTCAACTCACACTTTGTGTATGCTCCAAACACAGTGAACTGCTTGCACTTCTCACTACCCTCTGCTTCGATGCCAATAGTTTGGTGTTCTTAGACCATAGGAGTGGGAGGGAAAGAGACAGCAGACGATCTGGTTGCTGACTATAGACAGTGACCAGACCTTGAATGCCACATAGAACATTCTAGATGTGTTGGCTGCTATCCCAAATTATTTGGCCTAAATGGAATGACCATACAGTTTGGCTTTTCTTCTTCCACTGAGAGTAGTCTGCATAGAAGATGACACAAAGGGCTTATATGTCCATCGTCTTGGCCACAGATGCAACTGCAAGCAATGGTCCCATTTTACAGATAAGCAAACAGAGACTTCAAATGACTTGGCCCCACAGCTAGCAAATAGCAAAGCAAGGGCTTGAATGAGGTTTCCAGACTCCAAATTCTCATTTTCTTTCCTCTAGTACTGCAGCTCTTACAGAGCTGTTTTGGGTGTGGTGTGAGGAAAGGGAGACAGCTCTGACCTAGACCAGGGGAGGGGGGGAGGAATTCTCTTTACCACCAGTGCACTCACTAGGGGCTAAGTCTGTTTAACTTGCCTCTTTTCTTGGCCTAGTTCCCTTCTCTAATTAATCTTTTTTTTTTTTAATGTTTATTTATTTGTGAGAGAAAGAGAGACAGTGCAGAGAGAGAGGGAGACACAGAATCTGAAGAAGGCTCCAGGTT